AACCAAAACGATAACAACAACAACAAAAAGTTATTTATCGCCGAGCTGTGGCTTCTGTTAAACCCCCGGCACTTAAAAATATCGCGCTGGGCTTTATCTCGGCGGGGTTTGTTTGGGTTTGTTCTCGGGGATGAAAGAGGCCCAGATAAAATTGAATATACAAGGGAGACCATACACTGGGCATCAATCCCCGGCTGCCTTGCCCAAAACCCCTCTGCCGAATATTCCCATTTTCACCTTTTTTTCGGGGTATTTCTGCTCTGCTTGAATGGAGGGGAAAGTTTCTGCTGGGAGAGAAAAAAAGAGATGGAGGAAAATAAGAGACGGAGGGGAAAAAAGGTTTAATTTTGTGATTTTGAAGCTTTGGATTGGGTTGGTTTTGGTTTTTGGGTTTTTTTTGGGTTTTTTGGTTTTTTTTTGAGTTTTCGAGCTTGGATTGAGGGAGGGAGGGAAATCCGAGGGGTGGAAAGCGAGGAGCAAATGGCCTCGCGAAGTGTTTGTTTTCCGAGAGAAAGAGAGAGAAAGAAGAAAACAAAAAATAATGACAGTGATTAAACCCCACCGGGTTCGGGATCAGCGCCTCCCTGGATCTGGGATGAGAAACACAAAACCGTGCTGGGGGAGGAAAAAAAAAAAGGATTTATTCTCTAAATTCAACCTGTGCTGTCAGAGAGGGGAAGAAATGGCATTTTTGAATTCCTGCCGCTGCTCTCATCTGCTGGGAATCTTTGCCCTGAATTCCAGAGGCGCTGGGAGTTCCTGTGTAAACAAAAAAAGGGGAGTCAAGTGTGCCAGGACAGCGTTACCTGGGGGGAAAACACGGATTTTTGCTGATACCTGGGGGAAAAACATGGATTTTTGTGGTTACCTGGGGGGAAAACAAAGATTATTCTTGTTAGCTAGGGAAAAAACATGTTTTTTTGCTGTTAGCTGGGGGAAAAACATGGAATTTTGTTGTTACCTGGGGAAAAAAACACAGATTTTTGCTTTTACTTGAGAAAAATCACGGATTTTTGCTGATACCTGGGGGAAAACAGGGATTTTTGTTGTTACCTGGGGAAAAAACCATTAATTTTTGCTGTTTGCAGCTGAAAAGCAAACCAACCCTGGTGATCAACTTTGAATTTCTGCTGGCGGGAGGTTTTTGGGGGCTGCTCCGCGTGGGATTTCAGTAGAAATAGCAAATTTCGGTGGGTTTTGGTGGTTCCCCCCTCGGCGCTCCCGTTTCCGTGCTGCTTCGGGGTTTCTCCGGGCGCGCCCCGCGGGGGGACGTCTGGGATAAATCCGGAATAAATCAACGTACGGGCGGCCACAAAGAGGCTCCGCCGGCCGCCCCGAAACTCCTGCGGACCCCGAAACCGGCCGGGGCTCGGCAGGGTGGGATCTGCCGCAGCATCTGCTCCCCGCGCCGGCCGCGGGACCCTATTCATGTCAGCGTCCTTTCAGGCGCCAAGATGGATTCCTGGCACC